AGGTCACTATGAGTCAGGGGTAACTTGACAGCAACTAACAACAACAGCAACTCAAAAGCATCAACTCTTTCTCAGTCTTCCTTATTCATTGTCTAGCTCTCACATGCATATGTTGTTGTCGTGTTGTTAGGTGCCATCGAGTCGTTTCTGACTCATAGTGACCCTATGCACAGCAGAATGAAACATTGCCCAATCCCACGCCAGCTCCATGATCCTACCTATACTTGAGCCCGTTGTCGCAGCCACCATGTCAATCCATCTTGTTGAAGGCCTTTCCTCTTTTGTCGACCCTCTATCTTACCAAGCATGACACCCTTCTCCGGGGAATGGTCCCTTCTGACAACATGACCAAAGTAGGTGAGACGAAGTCTGGCCATTCTCACTTCCAAGGAGCATTTCGGCTGCACTTCCTACAGGACAGACCTGTTAATTCTTTTAACATGGCTTGTGTTAGGTACACCTTAGTCTTCAAAGAGATATCTTTGCTCTTCAGCACTTTAAAGAGGTCTCCTGAAACAGATTTTCCCAGTGCAATATGTTGTCTGATTCCTTGACTGTTGCTTCCACTGGTGTTGATTGTGGAACCAAGTAATACGAAATGTTGACAACTTCTATCTTTTCTCCATTTATCATGATGCTGCTTATTGGTCCAGATGTGAGAATTTTTGTTTTCTTTATGTTGAGATGTAATCCATACTGCAGACTGTAGTCTTTAATCTTCATCAGTAAATGCTTCAGGTCCTTTTCACTCTTAGAAAGCAAGGTTTTGTCATCTGCATATCACAAATTGTTAGAGTCTTCCTCCAGTCCTGATGTCATGTTCTTCTTCATATAGTCCAGCTTCTCGGATTATTTGCTCAGCATACAGATTGAATAAGTATGGTGAAAGGTAAAACCCTGAAGCACTCCCTTCCTGATTTTAAACCATGCAGTATCCCCTTGTTCTGTTTGAAGGACAGTCTCCTGGCCTATGTATAGGTTCCTCATGAGCACGATTCAGTGTTCAGGAATTCCCATTCTTCTCAATGTTATCTGCAATTTATTATGATCCACACAGTCAAATGCTTTTGTATAGTCAACAAAACACAGGTAAACATCTTTCTGGTATTCTTTGCTTTGAGCCAAGATCCATCTCACATCGGCATGACACCCCTTGTTCCCACATCCTCTTCTGAATCCAGCTTGCATTTTTGGAAGATCCATGTCAATGTACTGCTGCAATTGTTTTTGAATTATCTTCAACAAAATTTTACTTGTGTGTAATATTAATTATATTGTTCAATAATTTCTACATTCTGTGGGATAACCTTTCTTTGGAATGGGTACAAATATGGATCTCTTTCAGTCAGTAGGTCATGTAGTTGTCTTCCAAATTTCTTGGCATAGATGAATAAGTGCTTCCAGCACAGCATCCATCTGTTGAAACATCTCAATGGGTAGTCCCTTGATTCTTGGAGCCTTGTCTTTTTTGTAAATCCCTTCAGTGCAGCTTCAACTTCTTCCCTCAATACCATTGGTTCTTGATCATATGCCACCTCCTGAAATGGATGAACATCAACCAATTCTTTTTGGTACAGTGACTTTGTGTATTCCTTTCATCTTCTTTTGATATTTGATTCATCATTCAATATTTTGCCCACAAAAACTTTCAATATTGCAACTTGAGGCTTGAATTTTTTCCTCAGTTCTTTCAGCTTGAGAAATGCTGAGCATGTTCTCCCCTCTTGGTTTTCTAACTCCAGGTCTTTGCACATTTCATTATAATTGACTTTGTCTTCTTTAGCTGTTCTTTGGAATCTTCTGTTCAGCTCTTTCATCTTGTCATTTCCTCCATTTGCTTTAGCTACTCTCTGTTCAAGAGCAAGTTTTGGAGTATTTTCTGCCATCCATTTTGGTCTTTTCTTCCTTTCCTGCCTTTTAAATGACCTTTTGCTTTCTTCATGGGTTATATTCTTGATGTCATCCCACAATTCCTCTGGTTTTCAGTCACTGGTCTTAATGCATCAAATCTGTTCTTCAGATGGTCCTTGAATTCAGGAGGAATATAATCAAGGTCATATTTTGGCTCTCATGCACTTCTTTAATTGTCTTCAGCTTCACCTTGAACTTGTACATGAGTAATTGATGGTCTGTTCCACGGTCAGCTCCTGGCTTGTTTTGGCTGACGATACTGAGCTTCTCCATCACCTCTTGCCACAGATATAGTCAATCTGAATCCTGTGTACTCCATCTGGAGAAGTCCAAGCGTATAGCCGCCATTTATGTTGTTGAAAAAGAGTACTTGCGATGAATAAGTCGTTGGTCTTGCAGAATTCTATCATGTGATCTGAAGTCATTTTTATCACCAAAGCCATATTTTCCAACTATCAGTGATTCTTCTTTGTTTCCAACTTTTACATTCCAATTACCAACAATAATCAATACATCTTGATTTCATGTTTGGTCAGTTTCAGACTGCAGAAGTTGGTATTAAAAAAAAAAAAAAGCTTCAATTTCCTCATCTTTAGCTTTAGTAGTTGGTGTGTAAATTTGAATAATAGTGGTATTAACTGGTCTTCTTTGTAAGTGTCTGGATATTATCCTATCGCTGAGACCATTGTACTTCAGGATAGATCTTGAGACATTTTTTGTGATGATGAATACCCACTATTGCTCTTCAGTTGGTCATTCCCAGCATAGTAGATCATATGGCTGACTGATTCAAAAGGCCAAAACCAATCCATTTCAGCTCACTAATGCCTAAGATACCAATCTTTATGTGTTTCATTTCATTTTTGACAACTTCTAATTTTCCTAGATTCATACTTTGTACATTCCATGTTCTGATTATTAATAGATGTTTCCAGCTGTTTCTTCTCATTTTGAGTCATGCCACATCAGGAACTAGAGGTCCCGTAAGCTTTACTCTATCCATGTCATTAAGGTCGACTCTACTTTGAGGAGGCAACTCTTCTCCAGTGTTATTTTGAGCACTTTCTAATCTGAGGGTCTCATATTCTGGCACTATATCGGACAGTGTTTCAGGGCTAGTCATAAAGTTTTCCTGTAATATATCAGACTGTGTTTCACTGTTATTAGTAAGGTTTTCACTGGCCAACTCTTTGAGAAGTGGATGGCCCCTTTCTTCTTCTGAATCTTAGTCTGGAAGCTTTGCTGAAACCTGTCCACCATGGGTGACCCTGCTGGTATTTGAAATACCAGTGGTATAGCCTCCAGCCACACAGCAATACTCAAGCCACCACAGTACCATAAACTGACAGGTAAGTGGTAGATGGAGTTCACCCAGCTGCAGCAATCCCCTTTTGTGGGGTAACGATATTGATTTTCTTTTGAGAAAGAAAATATGTTCAATTCAAAACAAGGGATTGGTTTAGAGTGGGCACATGATCCAGGCCCAACCAATCAGAATCTAAGAATTGGCACAGGGGAGGGAATGTGAGCCAGGCTTGACCAATGAAACTCAGGTCTGGGGCTTTTGTTGAGTTAACCAGGAAAAGAGGCATTCTCTCTCTCTTTCCCTCCACTGGGATTGCCAGACCGGGAGGATGTAACCCTGGGGTGAATTCAGCCTTGAGTCAAGGAAAGCTGAGGGGCAGTCCTGGAGATGGCATTTGAAACTCTAGACCCTGGGGCTCTCAGATTTACAATCCAGAAACTTCCTTTATATGTTTGTCAAGCCAGTTTGAAGCGGGGTCTCTGGCATTTGCAACCAGAAGAATCTTGGCTACTAAAAGTAGCTGGGCAGTTGGCAAATGAGAAAACAAAGACTTGAGAAGGGGATTCACCTATCCAAGGTGACCTTAACAGTCTCCTCCAAGTATGTACTCTGGAACAGGAGGATAACAGTGTTGGAATTGAGGAAAACCTTCTTGGGGTCCAGATACAAGGGGACAATGGAGTGAGGATTGGAGACAAAGGGCATTCACACCAGTGTCTGGGGACAAGTGGGTGCTCCCTCCTCTAGTAAACATGAGAAGGACCGGCAAGACCATGACCCACCCTCTTGTGGTCCTGGCCACACTTGTAACTCACCCCACCCCATGCCCCTCAGTGGGGCCAAGAAGGAGGGCTTGGGAGGGAAATTCCTAGTTGGGTCTGAGTGGGCTCCATAAGCACCAGGAGTGGAAGAAAGCACTGCCCGTGGCCACCAGGATCAGACAGGCACCTGGGCCATCTTAGGGGGTGAGTGGCAGTGGGAGGCAGGTCCAAGACAACCTGAGCATGGTCCCACCCTATGACATTTGAGACTGACGTCTCTTTCACATCTGGGCAATAAGGGGCTCTGAAGTCAGTGTCTGCATCCCACAGAGGCTGGATTTTAAAATCCCTGGGTAGGATCCCCTGGGATCTGAGACTACATCACATGGATGTATATCCCAGAGAGGCAGGGACACTGTCGGTGTTCTGTGCTATTCCACCTGCTTTTTGTAGTCCCTGATGGAGATGAAGGGTGAGGAATAGGAGCTCAGAGATGGGTGCTGGGGGAGGACTCAGGGCCCCATCCTGATCCTGGGGCTGCTGGGGATTGAAGCCCAGGACTGTAAGTGTGTGTGTTGGGGGGGGGGGGCTGTCCTGTCCTCTTCTTGGACTGACACAGACCCTAGATAAAGCTTCATTGTGGGGTGAGGGATAATGACCCAACAACTTCCCAGGAGATCTGTGGCTCCACGATGACCATCAATGTGGGTCAAAGATAAGACGCCTTCCCCTCCTAAAGGTGGCATGAGCCCTGGTAGTGACACCATTATAGGAAGTTGGTGTCCCATTCTCGGAGTTAGGGGTGAAGGACAACATGGGAGAAATGGAACAGAGCCTGGCAGCAGAAAGTCTCCCCGATCCCCCAACATCTTCCAGATGACACCAGATTAGTTATTTCCCCAACCCCACAAAAGAAACCAAGAAGTACCCACATGGACTCCATCAGCACGTGGTTTATTTCTGGCTCCACTCCTCCGACGTCTGGCCCCTGACCCTCCAGCCTGCACTGCGCATGCTCAACCTCAAAATAAGATCTGCACGCGGCAGCAGCGAGCTCCGGTCCAGTCAATGCCAGCGCATTGGCAGTGGCAGGTAGTGTCGGCACGCACGTCCCATGAACCACAGGCAGAGCCACATGTGCAGCCGGTGACAGCAAAACCTGCAGGTGGGAACGAGGTAGGGGTTTGAACCTAGAGCTGGGAGGTGGAGGGGTGAGAGTCAGAGTCCAAGTGGTTGGAGGTTCCCCTACCAGGGAATGGGGGTCAGGGGGGTGGAGAGGAAGGAGGCTGGGGCCTTAACATCGGTGACCTAAGGAAATGGGGTCCTGGGCAGAGGTGCGGCGAGAAGGCTGTGAATTCAGACTCAAGGACCCTGGGGAAGTGGAGGCTGGGACTCCACAGTCTTAGAGACAGACAGTCTGGACAGGGGTGGAGGAGTGTCCCAAGAGGCTTGGAAGGGAGCTGAGAGCCTGAACACCAACATTCTGCACTCACCTGCAGGGCAGGAGGCCAGGTCCCCCCTGGAGGTGACAGTGTTGCAGTCCAGGTGGATGTTCCTGACAGCCCGCAGGACTGCAGGAGGGAAAGGGGGAGGGGCTTGGAGACCAAGCTGCACCCCCCCTCCTCTTGCTGACCTGCCCTGGTGGGTTGGAGCTAGGCAGGGGGGCACTCCTAAAGAAGGTATAGGTGGTCCAAGCCCTAGTGGAGAGCCCAGGTAATGGGGAGCCCACCACCTCCTAGGATCCTCTGTCTTTAGTTGAGTTTAGAGTAAGGGAGGGTTTGCGGGTGACACTTAGGGTTGGAATTGGGTTTGGGTGGAAGTTGGGGTTTGGTTTGCAGCTGTGGTTGCAAGTGGAATGGGGTTGGGTTTCAGAGTCCCCGATGATGCACATGGTTAACACACTCAGCTGCTAACTGAAAAGTTGGAGGTTCAAGTCCGCCCAGAAGTTACCTCAGAAGAAAGGCCTGGTGCTCTCCTTCCAAAAAATCACCCATTGAAACCCTGTGGAGGCCAGTTCTGCCCTGACACACATGGGGTCCTCGTGTGTCAGAACTGATGCAACAGCACCTGGGTAGTTGGCTTGCATTGGGTTTGCGTTTGGAGTTGGTGTGTAAATTGGAGCTGGCACTGAAGTTGGGACTGGGTTGGGTTTGAGGTTGGGATTTGGTTAGGATTGGGTTTGAAGTTAAGTTTTGGATGGGGTTGTGAGTGGGTTAGAGTTGACGTGGTGGTTGGATTTGAGTTAGAGATTTGGTTGGGGTTGGGCTTGAAGTTATAGTTGGGTTTTAGGTTACGGTTTTGTTGGGTTTGGGGTTGCGATTTGGCTGGGGATAGGGTCAGGCCTGCTAAGGGATCAGGGAGCCTCTGAGGCAGTCAGGAGCGGGGGGTGCGGTCCTCACATTGGAAGCTGGTGCCCTCCTGGATCTTCTGATTGATGGCTTCATCCACAGGACACAGGGACTTGCCGGACACCAGCAGCCCCAGGACAGGGAGGAGGAGGAGGGAGACAGCCTTCATCCTGCATGTGCTGTTGGGGGAGCCAAGAGACCCACTGCTGCATCAGCCCCATCCCATCCATGGGGGCTCAGGCCCACACAGGGTGTGGGGTCTGGAACTCTGGGTCCCTTTGGGACACAAGGGCTAGAGATCCAGCTTTGTCCCCGACCCTGTGCTGGGGCTGTGGGCAGGGACCGCTGTCACTTACCCTTCTCTGTGGACTCAGCCGAGCAAAATCTGGAACATAAACTACTAAGCCCTGCCACACACAGCCTTCTCTTTTAAGGCCTCTCTCATGAGGCTTCCTGTATTTGCTAATAAGTCCTTTGGCCCCCTGGCACTCCCTTCTCATATCCGGGGCCAAGAGGAAGCCCCTGGAGTTGGCTCAAGGAGCCCAGGGGCAGGAAGCTGTACCTCCTTTTCAGCCACAGCCTCCCGGTTGGAAAGGAGAGCCCTTTCTTCCCATATCCGGACTCTCCGTAATTACCACGTCCAGCAGGAAGTGCCTGGGGGTAATCCCAGGAGCCAAGGTCTGAGGAACAGGTAGAGAACAGGGATCCTGGTGCAGTGGTGGGAGCTGCATGTCTGATGCAAATAACATCCCTCTGTGGAAATTGCATACCATGTTCACACCCAGCACCCTATCTACAGTAGGTAAGTGGATGGCTAAGACTGTGGTTTATTCCTTCCATGGCGTATGCAACAGCAGGGTTGGCAAACTGCAGTCATGGGGCAAGTCAGTCCACTATCTGGTTTGTTTTTTTTAAAAAACAGTCCACCAGCTAAGAATGCTTTTCCCTTTCTCAATGGGTGGAGAAAAGTCCAAATAATACATTTGTTATGTGCCATCGAGTCAAACCCGACTCATAGCGACCCCTCCCCTTGGGTTTCCGAGGCAGTATCACTACGGAAGTAGGATTGCCCAACCTTCCTTCCGAGGGATGTAAAAATGATAGGGAATTCAAAGCCCAGTGTCCACAGAGTTCTCTTGGAACATAGTCACGTCCTCTCAAGTGGGCACAAGGAAGGCTTCTGGGGGCCAATGATGTTCTGATTGTGATCTGGATGAACAGTACTTATATGGGTGTGTACACTGTGAAAATTCAACCTGAATACTTGGATTTGGGCACTTCACACGTTACATTTCAACTCTAGTTGGGTGTGTGTGTGCATGTATGTGTGTGTGTGTTTATATACCTGTAAATATGTGAGTAGCCCTAGTGGCACAGTGGTTAAGTGCTTAGCTGCTAACCCAAAGGTCAACGGTTCAAATCCACCAGTTGCTCC